GTTGTTCCCCAGAAACGAATGAGAGATCTTTTTAGGATGTCTCAAGGAGCAACGGAATCTGTAAACAACTTTGGTACTAGAGTCCGTAAACAGGGAAAGTTCATAGTTGGAGAAGCCCCTGGAAAGCTAAAAGTAGTCCGAAGAGAAAATCAGCCTGACGCCTTATTAGAAAATCCCTTCTTTGTTCAAGAAAAATGGGAATATCAGGCTAAGAAAAATATGTTGGATGGATTTTTGTTAACTGCTTTTATCGATGGACTAAAACCATCAATTGGCAGAAAAATAATAGCCACTCCTTCTACTTTCGAAGCCGCAGTAGCCTTAGCAATATCAGTGGAAGAAAGAAATTCTGACCTATTAGAAAGAGGAATCAATGACTTGACCCTAAACAATTTGTCATCGCATTATAACAAAAAATCGGCGTATACCAACAAGCGAGCCCCCTCCCCATATTCGGCCGGCGCGACCGCTAATGCTTCAAGTGATATACGGGGTTCAACGACTTGCTAAGGATGTGGAAAGATCGGTCACTTTAGAAGCGAATGTTCGGCAATTAGAGAAAAAGACCAACAAGTGCCGAAGCGCAAATTAATATATTTTGCGCCCAAAAACACGCATCCGACTTGCGGAATCCTACGCAATAGTGGAATGTGTAGAGGTCGCCCTTCTTATCGTGGAAGAGGCGTCCGAGGATCCGGCAAAAGTCAAGGAAGGCGAATTAATTTTGTCTCCACTACTGCCGAAGAAGACGATTATGCGGAAGAAGAATATCAGGATGATTACCAGGAATACCAGGAGCCAGAAGAGGAATGGCTACCTGAGGGGTACTACGAGGAACCATCTGCATCAGCATTGGAAGGCGGATTAATTTTGTCTCCACTACTGCCGAAGAAGACGATTATGCGGAAGAAGAATATCAGGATGATTACCAGGAATACCAGGAGCCAGAAGAGGAATGGCTACCTGAGGGGTACTACGAGGAACCGTCTGCATCAGCATCAGTGTCATACTCGGGAAACAAGTATTGACCGGAGTTTCAAGTAAGTCCCCGAAACTTCCGGTAATATTATTGACCCCAAATGTTTCCATTTTTCCTTGTAAATTTCTAGTTGATTCTGGATCTGAAATATCTCTGATATCTTTAACAGTTCTAAGACCTGAGATTATCCCTAAGGAATCTTCTTTAACAATTTCAACAATAGAAGGCAGGGAGATCCCTATACTGGGGATCGTTTCTTCAGAAATTTTGCATAACAATCGTATACTCACTACCGCAAATTTATTGGTTACTGAAGTACGCAATCAAGAGTTTGTAGGTATAATTGGATGCAATTTGTTAAAAGAACTTCGAGCTTCGATAGATTACGTCAAAAGATGCGTTTATTTAAACGAGGCACGTATTTTCTTTTTAGCGGAAGAAACTTTAAAACCCTTCTTAAAACTTGGAAAAAAGAGGAAACTTATCGATGCTGACAAAACCGCGCGATTATATCCAATTACGCGTCAAATAATTCCGGCGTTGTCTCAGTTTGTTATTTGGACTATCCCAGCAAAGGGGGCAAGGGAACACCTAAAGGACAAAACTGTTTTAGTCCTAAAGAATTTCTGTGGCAATATAATTGTTGCAAGAAGTTTATCAGCCCCTGTCGATGGGAAGTACCCAGTTTTATGTATGAATTTAGGAGACGAAGACGCTGAAGTCAGCCCGCGTTTGACACTCGCGATGGGAACTTGTGATTTGTGGTACGTTCCACCAGACCAAGATAATTGCAGAAATTCGGTGAACAATCTCGTCTCGCGGAATAAAAAAGCGAGTCAAGAATTGATTCATGGGAAATTGGAGGAAAATGATCTAAAACAACTTGTCGAGGAGAATATTAAGACTTCGGAGTGTCCTCCTCACTTAATTCATAAATTGCGGAACCTTTTGTTTAAATACAAAAATGTTTTAGCTAAGAAATCAGATCATTTAGGTCTGTGTGAATTATATGAGGCCGACATCCCCCTGGACACTACGAGTCCAATTTATACGCGACAGTATCCCCAGCCATTCGAAATGAGGAAATTGGCTACAAAATATACTGAAGACCTTTTGAACCAGGAAGTAGTGCGCCCCTCTACCTCTCCTTACAACAGCCCTATGCTGATGGTAAGGAAGAAAGACGGAGGATGGAGAATGGTCGTCGATTTTAGACGGTTAAACGATCATGTTATCACGGATCCTCACCCTTTGCCAAGAATTAGTCAGATTTTTGAAGAATTGGGTAACTGTAAATACTTCACAGCTCTAGATTTACTCCATGGGTTTTACAATCTAAAGATTCGTGAAGAAGAGAGGCATAAAACAGCCTTCTTGACCCCAATGGGTCATTACGAGTTCATTCGATTGCCTATGGGATTAAAAAATAGTCCTTCCATATTTCAACGATTAATGCATCTAGTTTTAGATGGTTGTCTGGGAATCTATGCGTATATATATATCAATGATATCGTTATATATTCACGCAATGCAGACAAACATTTACAACATTTAGATGACATTTTAAAGAGACTAGACAAGGCAGGATTAAAAGTAAAATTTTCGAAATGTTAGTTATTCCGAACTCAAATAGAATATCTTGGATTTTTCATTAGTAAAGAAGGGATCCGTGTCAACCCGGTTAAAATCGAAGCCATCAAGAACTTCCCAACACCAAAGGACGTAAAGGGCATTCAAGCCTTTTTGGGACTGGTTGGGTAATTTAGATTGTATATCCAAAATTTTGCCCTAAAAGCAAAACCTCTGTACATGCTGTTAAGAAAAGATACGCCATTTAAATGGACAAAAGAACAGCAAAATGCAGTGGAAATGTTGAAAGCCTGTTTAATGAAGGCACCAATTTTATCTTACCCTGATTTTAATCATGAGTTTATACTGACGACGGACTCCTCAGCAATTGCAATAGGCGCTGTCTTAACTCAGAAATCAGGTAAGAAGGAGATATTGATTGGGTGTACCTCGCAAACACTAAATGACGCAGAATCGCGTTATTCGAACACTGACCGCAAACTGTTGGCAGTATATTACGGGGTACAACAATTTAGATCCTATCTGTGGGGACACAAATTCGTGATCAGAACAGACCATATCGCGATTCCCTATTTGAGCAGACAACGACAAAGTGACAGTAGTCGTGCTATAACTTGGTTTATGAAACTAAACGAGTACGATTTTAGAGTCGAATATAGAAAGGGATTATTGATTCCCCATGCAGATGCTCTCAGTAGGTTCCCTCCAGCACAGCAGCATCAAAAGAGAATTTGTGCTTACTTT